TTCCATGAACTTTTTGAAGTACCCTCATATTTCCTTCACTAAACTATAAATTCTATGAGTTAGTTATCCTCTTATTGTCTTCTCAGTCCTCTGACAGTCTCTGGGTCTGGGGTACAATAAATGCCCAATAAATGTTTACTATATTAATGAGCGCATGGCCATAACTATAGGTCTACGGCAGAGTTTCTCAACTTCAGCACTACTGACATTTTGGAACAGATAACTCTTGGTTGTGGGGGTCTGTCCAATGGGTCGTATGATGTTTAGCAGCATCCCAGGCCCCACCCCCAAGATGTAGCAACCAAAAGTGTCTCCAGACATTGCCGAATATACCCTAGGGGTGGGCAAAATGGCCCCCAGTTGGGAACCACTGGTCTATGAAATATGCTTGTGACTTTAGATACATAAGTAAGAAAGTGACAATTAATCCTAGGCAACTCATTCGTGTGGAGAGGAAGGGAAAGAACAGAGGGAACATGGGAGGGGATAACAGTTACTCCTCATCTTGTCAGTACCTTCCTGTATTAACTCTAAGCTGTAAGACTGACTCCACCAACTTTTTGCTTTCCATATGGCAGCTACGACACTGAGACAGGTAAAGTATTTCAAGAAACAATGTCAAAATGAGGATTTCCCAAAACCAGTTCAGAACATTAATTCTACACACTGTTAGTAGATGTTATTAATAAAATGATCCATGGGCCAAGTAAGTTTGCAAACATCAGATTCTGCACAATTAAACAGATTTCTTTATTATGGTACTTATCAGAGTCCCTTAACCATCTATTACNTGCACAATTAAACAGATTTCTTTATTATGGTACTTATCAGAGTCCCTTAACCATCTATTACACTTTGGAAGTCTCTAAGAAGGATGTATATAGGATGCCCTATATCCCAAAATTCTGGAGCCTGGGTCTTCTGTCTTGGCAGATCATCTTGTGGGATTAGCGTGTCTTGGACCACACCCTGGGCAATACCGGCCTAGGTTTATCACAGTAGTAACATCCTTCCATACATGGGAATTTCTCAATCTCCAGGCAAACTCTCTAGGTTGTTGATAAGCATGGTCCATGGTGCTATCATGTTAAAACCACCTGAGAATATTCAACATCTACTTATGTTGTCTATTTCCAACTCTGGGTGCTGTTTCAGGTATAACAGAATGATAAGCTGATGATTTCCTCTGAAGGTAATTAGTAAGGAAGTCATATCTCCCTTTTTAAAGATTTACTAAAGATTTGTCTCTCTAGCCTCAGGAACCTTGCCTTCCCTGACACTCTAGTGAATCCATGGATAATGTAGAAATTGCAAATGATTGGCTCACTATGTGCCAGGCAACATGGCACATAGTGCCATGATGAGTAAGTGGGCATGTGTCACTTACTCATCACAACAACCCTATAATGTAGGTTACTTTATTAGTTCCATTATTTTCTAGAAAAGAAAACCAGGACCCAGAACAGGTAAGAAGCTTACTCAGGGTCACACAGCTAGCAGGTGGAAGATCCCAGATTTGAATCCATGTCTGGTTAAGGGCATGTTCTTTGCAATTCCATGACCTCCATGCCCCACCCTTATTCCATTCACTCACTCTTTCATTCAACTGCCTTTCCTTCAGTAGCTCCTACATATGTGCCAGGCACCGTGGGAGGAACTAACAGGTGTGATGTGTGTGTGGAAGGAGATTAAGATGTTCCAGAAGAATAACAGCTAGGACAACCTCTCCTGAAGTGCAGAGAAGACTCATGTTCAGGAGAAGTTGCATTTAAGATGCGATCTGAAAGTTGAAGCAGCGTGGGTATAGGAACTGACATGCATGTGTGTAAATATTGCTCTACCATCCTCCCCTCATTCTGGGTTGACTTTCTACCTTCCCAAGTGAATAATACTTCTTATGTTTATCTAATTAATACAGTGCCTTTTTTTGCAAAGGGCTAGAATGAGCAACTACTAAAAGGTTGCTTCCTTTCATAGTCACTGGTTATCAGCTTCCCTGTATGCATTTTGGCATATTGAAAAAAGTGTGCCTGGTCCTCTACTAATTACTATGAAAATAATGGATGCCAGAACTCTCTCTTTCTTTCTCTCTCAGGCCTAATGTGTGTCCAGTGGCTCTGGAGCACATCCTGAGGCTGGTGGCACAACTCTCAGGGCTCTATAATGATGTGTGGCTTGTTCTTCTTGACACTGTTACATAACAACAGGGATTCATCCCTCAGAAAGCACAGCTGAGACCAGTGTAGGAAGAAAAGGCTTTATTACTTGCAAGCAAGGAGAACACTGGGAATCGTGCCCAAAGCAATGTCTCCCTGAGCAAGGGAGAGGGGTTCTCTTATATAACCAAAGTTCTTGCCTAACTTCGCACCCAAGTTCTCATCGAGGTCTTCTCATGTAAATGAAGGATACGAACTTGTTCAATTTGGATTGGCTGACTATGGGACATAGTTCATTGGTCAGTTCTGAAGCCTAATTTGCATTTGGACCTAGGAAGGAATGTGGCCTTTGGGCAACAGTGGGACCTCAAGAAGTTGTCACATGGGCTAAGCTGTGAGCCCTCAGCTAGTACAGGTTACAGTCCATAGATGGCAAATTGAGACTTACTGTGATGGCTGACTTGTGACATAAAACAGGGCCAGGTAAGTGTGGAGTTCATCTCTGGGTCCTGTATTTCAGTTTCAGCAGATGTATTTTGAGAGCTGTCTAGTATTCCATGGTTTGCAACTTCCTGCCACCTCCTGCAGCAACAGAACTTAGAACAAAAGTTACGACTGGTTCATTTCCTGTTTCAAACTTTTTAGCGGCAGCAAGTGCCTGGGCATTTAGGAGACCCTGGACCCTAGGTTACAACACTATGCAAAAGAATACGAACGCAGAGAGTGAACAACTAGTAAACGTCTGCTGCATTGAGAGAGAAAAGCCCAAGCTAGATAGTTTCTTTTCCAGTGGAAAGGATGTATTGTATCGAGACTATACTTACGTAAAAAAATTGTGGGGAGAAACTGAAAAATAACTCTTTAAAAATTCTATTTAAAGGTTGGATCCTTTGGAAAAACCTAAATATTTCCTACAAATATTTGACAATATACCATTTTAACCCTTATTAAGCTGAAAAATATCACAATGCCACTCAGAAAAACAAATGACAATTAGAACAGAAACTGGGGCTTGAAAATATATGTTCTTCCTCAGTGCATCCTAAGGGTATCTGCTAAAGTTCCAATTATAGTCATTTTACAAAATCTAATTTTCCTACAGCAGTTTAGCAGCATCAGAATTACCTGGAGGGCTTGTTAAAACACAGATTGCTTGTCCCACCTGGAGTGGGGCCTGTATTAGTCTGTTTCTGTTGCTTATAACAGAATACCTGAAATTGGGTAATTTATAAAGAAATAAAATTTATTTCTTGCAATTTCAGAGGCTGGAAAGTCCAAAGTCCAGGCAACACATGTGGTGAGGGCCTTGTTCTACAGCAATTCAAGGTATCACATGGCACGAATGGGCTGAGCAAGAGAGCTAACCTGCTCACTCGCTCTCCTTATAAAGCCATCACAATCATGCCCATGGCCAGCCATTAAACCATCAGCCCATTATTCCATGAATGGATCAATCTATTTACTAGGGCATAGTCCTCACAATCTAATCACCTTTTAAAGGCCCAGCTGTTCAATTACCATAATTGGATTTCCCATCCTCTTAACATTGTTACAATGGAGATTAAGTTTCCAATACATAAACTTTTGGGGGACACATTTGACCCATAGCAGGGCCTAAACATTTGCATTTCTATAAAGTTCCCAAGAGAACCATGATCTTCTGATAATCTTCCCTTTGGCATGCAGGTGTGTTTCTCTTCAGGTAATTGACATGTTGCTGACAAGTTGATAAGGAGCAAGTTAATATTTTTCCAATTGTCTCTATTATGATTTCAGAGGATTTTTTTCTTCTTTGCTGATCCACTAATAATGACCACTGATAGTCTGTGGCCTCGCCCTCTGCCAAATGAGGATCATTTGATAAACAAGCTCCTAGCCACTAAAGAAGGAACATATTAAAATAAGTCATATGGTGAATACCATTGTATGGAAATGCAGCATTTATGACACAAGCTCTTACTTTCTAATTTGTCTTTTTTATGAGGCTAATTTTCATATATCAATTTTTCCAAGAGTAACTGCATCTGGACATTCTCTCTCGAAAATGCAAGATGATTTCAAATATCTGCAAGCAGAATTTCAGAACACCTAAATCCATTACCATCTGAAATGTTAACTAACTAATGCAGACGATAGAAGTTGGAATGTGAATTGACTGGTAATACTCCCTCATCCCACGTATTTACTGAGTGGCCCCTGTGTCCAATGAACTAGGCAGTAACTGAGTGAAGATGATACCAGGGTGCCTCAGTTAATGACATGTCACATGCTTCATGGTCCCAGATACCTTTATTTATTTTCTTTGTCTGGCCACACAATTTTGTTCTGGTACCTATTGTCATAAGAAGTCAAGGATTAAAATGCTAAGGAGAGGGCCGAGCCCGTGGCGCACCTGGGACAGTGCGGCGCTGGGAGCACAGCAGCGCTCCCGCTGCGGGTTCGGATCCTATATAGGGATGACCGGTGTGCTCACTGGCTGAGTGCGATGCGGCTGGTCTCAAAAAGGAAAAAAAAAAAAAAAAAAAAAAAATGCTAAGGAGAGAGAAAAGAGAAGCATCACAATATTTTTAAATGGTAATTTTTTTGCAGGGGGAGAGGGGTGACTGGCCAATGTGGGGATCTGAACCATTGACCTTGGTGTTACCAACACTGTGCTCTGAGCTAACCAGTCAGTCCCACAATGCTTTTAAATTATCCTTACGTTGCCAGTCTACTATTATTCCAAAGGAAGATTATTCATAGTCATTGGACCATGTGGTGAAGTAGAAAGTTTAATTGCTTTTGTAAACTTGGATCTAAGAGGATAACTGAACTTTGATAGGGAAAGGGAGGAGAGGACTTTCTCCTCTTCTTATCCTCCTTGGTGTGATGTCTCATCCTATGTTGCCTCTGGGAACTAAAAATGAGCAAAGAAAACCAGGTGTCCCAGGATACACCCAAGTGAGTGTAAGGTAAAAGAGGACATTTGTCATGCTAACGGGATAGCATTTAACCAAGTTTCCACCTCACCTTCACTCTGAGAAAATGGTTTATTTCTAAAACTGAGTAAGCAACAATATTTTAAACATATAACATCCAACCATCTTGGTTCAAGGTTTTTTAAAAAATTTTTACATGTTACCATCAACATGTATAGCAGTTCCTCTATATAAAAACAAGTTAGGGGGCCGGCCCGGTGGCGCACTGGATAGTGCGCCGCTTGGGAAGCGCGGCAGCGCTCCCGCCCGAGGGTTCGGATCCCACGTACAGACCGGTTCCCGCTCACTGGCTGAGCGAGGCGTGGGAGCAACACCGAGGTTTGCAATCCCGTTGCCGGTCCCTGGTCCGGTACGGGGGCAACACTGAGGGTTGCGATCCGTTGCCGGACACGGAAAAAGACAAAAGACAAAAAAAAAATAAAATAAAATAAAAATAAAAATAAAATAAAAACAAGTTAGGTTTGTTTGTTTGTTTGTTTGTCTTAACAAAAATAATACAAATAAGCTTTGCAAATATTTGTAAAATACCAAAGTATATGAATTAAATTATGAAAGCCTCTTCATTCTCCCCAACTTTTCTCCCCATTTCTGCAGTAACCCCTATTAACAGTTTGGTCTTTGTCTATCCAGTTCTCCTTCTATGCGAGTGTATTTATACTTGTGTATGCATATACTATATGGGTTGAAGTTTTAAACACATAAATGCTACAATATTATAGTTATTATTTTGTAACTTTTTAAAATTAACAATAGGCCTTGTATCTTTCCATATAAGCATCTATTGGTCTATTTTGTTCTCTTTATAGACTCAGTGTTGGTATAAATGTATCAGATTTAATCGCTCCCATAAAAATGGACATTATTTTTATTATTTCAACATTGGTATAATTGATATCTTCCTTATGCATGATCCTTGTGCATGTGTGTGTGTGTGTATTTCTGTATAAGACATTCCTCAAAGGAGAATTAGTGGATATCTGCAAAAGTTGTTTCCAGTCTTTACATTCTTTACATATTAAGAACTATCTTGGTTTCAGATGTTCTTTCAGAAACAACCATTTTTTTCTTTTTCTTTTTAATTTAAAGAATATCAGATAAGGATATAGGTGATCTGGTTTAAATTTCTAGCTGTGTGGACTCATAAATCCCACTTACCTTGTCATAGCATAGTTTCCTAATATTTAAATTAAAAATAGAAAATTAAAGTAAAATTAATTAAAGAAAAACTAAAGTAAATCACTGTTAAAGTCCCTCCTAACTCTAAAATTTTATTTTATAAGACAAAAAAGTAAGGTATTTTTTCTGAAGAAAAGAAACATAAAACTCCTACATACATGTTTATAAGATAATTAGCTACATACATATTTATAAAGTGACTAATAACTGAGTTCAACACAATTCAACAAATATTTTATCATGCATTAGGTGTTGTCTTTTACATTATATTAGATGCAAAGTAAGATGCCATTCCTACTCTTAAAGATCTTATAATCTAGGAAGTGGAAAATACAAATCCATAATTAACTGTAAAATACAATAATCAGAATATATGTTATTTAACAATTACAAACAAAATCTTCTATTAACTATATAAAATTTTAAACCTGGACACATGAAATATGCTTGATGAGATCCTTACTTAAATGTTAGGTCTCCAAAAAAATAACATACTCTTGGAAGCTAAATGTTAAAATATATCATTCTCAGTACTATCTCAAGTTTGCTAATGGGCTACTTGCGCTCTATTTGCAGGTGCTGTGGAGAGAGTGAAAAAAATCCGAGACTATGCTTTTGTGCACTTCAGCAACCGAGACGATGCCGTTGAGGCTATGAAAGCTTTAAATGGAAAGGTAACATAGGAGAGAGAAAAAACATGTACAAATTTCACCCAAGTTTAGTGTGGACCTTCTATTCAAAAGTGCAATCCTGCAAGTCTGTCTCAGTCCAGATTTGTCCATCTCTGACATGGCTGCCTCAGTCCATTGAAGATGCACAAAAGAGAAGTGATGGAAAGCACAGTGGAGAATGGGAATGTGGCTAATATGTCCAGCTCTACCTCTAGTTTTTTCTTATTTGTCATTAACAAGTCACAGGCCCTCGATTTCTTTATAAAGAGGGGATTAGAATAGATTATTTCAAGGTGTTTTCCTAATTCCAATTTTCTCTCATTTATTCAAAGAGATTATCATCTTTGCAGTGCAATAGTTTAGAAGCTGATGACCAGAAAAGATATCAAGATAGCCATTATTCTGCCCTCAGAGTTTGATCTTCCAACTCCAGAAGACTTAGTATCTCTCTCCTTGCCAAAAGCAGGGTCTGGGGAAAAACTAACTTTTACATCCTTACTACTTGTTTGTCTATAGAAACCAATATAATATTTACATATCAATCCAATGAACATTAAAAGCCTTCAGTAGACTGCTTATCATGCTAATAATGTCTGGAATGATACAAAAAGAATCAAACTAAAGATGCTTGTCAAAGTCTGCTGAAGAGATAAAACAAGTACACAAACACCTATGCAAAGTACAGTCAGGTATCATAAAAATAGATGAGAAGTGCCAAGACAGTTCAAAGAAAGAAGGGGGTCATAAGGAATCAGAAAAATCTTCATGGATATGAGAAGATAACGTATAAGAGAAGCCATGAAAACTGGGTATAATTTCAAAAGACAAAACATGGAAAGGAGAGGCAATCTCAGACAGAGGCACAGAATGGGGGAAGAGCAAGACGAAATTGGAGAACAGTAAAATGGAGAGCAATTTGGTTAGAAGGTAATGCACACAGGGCTATTTTACCACCAGGTCTTGCATCCGTCAGCTTCCCAGCAGGAAACAGAAGATGAAGGGATTAATTACAAAAGTGGGGATTAGGGTGATCAAGAGAGATAGTGCAGGAATCTGGGGCTCACAGCATCCCTGGAGTCAAAGGCACAGAGAGCTGGAGGATAATAAGATTCCTGAAGGGAAAAGAGTTGTGTACAGTGGGTCTCTTTGAGAGAAATAGTGATCTTCGGTCAAGGATCACAGCCAGCCCAAGGTGACCTCTCAGAGAAGGAGCCGGGAGAATAAATGTCCCAAACTCACTGTGGTCTGCCTCTCCAATCTCCCCATTGGTCAAATCCAATCATAATCTGGAAGGCTGGGGAGCCTGCAGAGGACCCCATGTAGAGTAGCCTCCCAGAGCAGAGAGCAGGCTAGAGACCAATGACGTGTGCATCTGGAGGGCAAAGGGAGGACGTCTCAGCCCAGGTCCTTCAGAACCAGTGGAGCCCTTGGCAATATGAGCTCCTCAGTGGCCTACAAAAATGTTTGAGTCCAGGAGGAAAAGAAGTACTGCCTCAGATGCACAAAGAAAACTACAAAACAAAAACTAATGCGTATTTAGATACATGTCTATGAAGCAAAACATTATTTCCATTTTCATTGATTATTTACATTTTAGTATCATAAAAAAATGTTATTGCTTTGAAAACAATTTGTAAGTTGGATTTTCTCTATTTGGAAACATTCCTGAGTATACATGATGGTCACCCAGAAGGCTCAGCCAATCGTAAATCAAATGCTAAATAATTACATTGGAATAATTGCAGTGTAAATGTATTGAAATTATTCCCAAATTTATAGCCGGATATTTTTATGGCAAAATTTACATATGTTATGGAATTAAATATATACTAAATATTGTATAGAACTATAATGTGGTATGGGAAGATCAAAAGTAAATATTCCTAGGACCTATGAAGGCTTTTGAGTGTGTGTGTGTGTATATATATATATATATATATATATATATGGATATTTATATTTAATTTATTAGACAAAGCAAGACAAAGCTTTTTTTGCCATGAAGTAATGGTCACATTTACAATTTAGGAAAATTAACCAGTAAGAGTAGACTTTTTCATAGAGTGGGGAAAGAGATGTAATGGAAATTAGTTATAAAACTATTAGTCAACCAGATGGGACAAAATAAAAGGCTTTAAATAAGGTGAGAATGGAATGTAGAAGAGAGCTCTATACAGAACTATTGGGGATGACCTCAAAGGACCCAGGAACTGATGGGAGGGCTGAGAAAGAAGGAAAAGTTGTTATGTCTTCAATATGGGGAACTATGAGGGAAGTCGGAAGGGAAACCCATTTAGAGAGAAATGTAATGAGTTGAGCTTTGGACATGATTATTCATCCATTCTATAAATACAAGTTTACTTCAAAAAGATCATGGAAAAATAGAATTAAAAGATAATACAAATCTTTCCATGAACTTTTTGAAGACCCCTTGTATTTGTGAATATACAAGTTTACTTCAAAAAGATCATGGAAAAATAGAATTAAAAGATAATACAAATCTTTCCATGAACTTTTTGAAGACCCCTTGTATTTGTGAATATCTATGATGTGAAAGAAATTTTTCTGGGCTTGTTGGGCTACACAGATTAATGAGATGTTGTTCTAGCTCTTGAAATGTCTAAACCAAATCACTAAAACACAAGGCTGTGTTTAAAATGCTATTGGAGGGGGCAGAGGAATGTGGAACAAAATCTATTATAATAGGAAAGCTGACTTTGCAGTAAAGAATCATTCTATTCAAAACATCTCTTGATATGGGAGTACCTATAAGCAGAGACCTGTTTGAGTCTCTCACGTTCCTCAAGACAAGACTGAAAGTATGAAGAATCGTATATGCAAGGTCACCCCCTTCCTCCAATATTCCAAGTCTACTTCTTCTAATTACATCAACATCAGTATAAGATTGGTGACTATCAGGTGGATTCTGTCTGTCTCTCAGTGTGTTTCATCAAACATATTTGAGACTGGCTACTGCTACTAAAAAGTGAGGCAGATAAATAAAACTAGGGACAAATTGCCCCAGAGGCTCACCAAAATGGTCAGGATAACTGTGAAACACAATCTTCGTGAAGCAGACTTCAATAATCCAGGAACCACTGAGTTGCTCATGAAATCAGAGGATAAGGGTGCACACTTAGCTACTGTAAAAGGGAATTTCTGCAAAAACACTTTATATTATTTTCTTCCTTTGTTTAAAATAGTAGCCCATCATATTCTTATTCAAAAGAAGCCACAAATGCTTTCTGACAACACTTTGTGCCTTTGATAAGAAATACATCAATTTATCAAATATTTGTTGAGAGCCATCTTTGCTACTGTGTAGACAAGCAACCTAGAAGCTAGCTGCTCATGCAGATCTTCATACAGCCATTATCTTCAATATGTGGAGCTGTTTGCAATCTCAAAAACTTGTATCGGAGAAGAACTACTCCAATAATGCTTAAAAACAATTTTAAGTGGTGCATGACTTGAGAAACCTCAATATTGCTCCCACCTGCCCAACCCCCACCCTCCCTGTTTATTAGTTCACGACTGTTCAGCAGATCAAAAGCCTGCCTTATAAGGAAGCACCTATGGGAGACAACGCAATCACCTCATAGATTCTTCTTCCTTGAGTAGGGCCCCACTTAAGGCTTTCTTCTTCTCCAGTGAAAACTCACCTATTGTATAGCTTCTCTAAGGACTGAGATATTTAGCTGGCTGTCAGTTGGAAAAGCCTGATTGGGCTGCCCATGCCAAGGTATTAATAATTGATAAGATCTCTTTATTGGTTTCCTTTCACCTTCATTTTACTGTGATAGGTAGTGGAGATTATATTCTACCCATAATGAAACTAAAATTTCTCATAATTGTATAATTATATAAATATGTAATTTAAAATATTTATATTATAATAGAAAATATCACGTAATTTTCTGTCTCAGTGCCTTATCCAGAATATACATTTATAACCAAGATGTCAATGAATGGTGGCCAATATGCCAGTGCCAAACCTGTTGGCATCTTAGGCAACCTACCAACGAAACGACTCAGAGAAAATTCAACTCGTGTACAAACGCTAACCTATAAAGAGGCAAGATACAAATAATCGAAACAGTCAGTAAACATACAGCAAACAATCTAACATTTAGAAGAAGACATGCTATTGGGGCTCAGCCACACTTGGTTGTCTTCACATCTTCTCATATTGCTTTTTCCTTGATCTCCACAACAGGTGCTGGATGGTTCCCCCATTGAAGTGACCCTTGCCAAACCAGTGGACAAGGACAGTTATGTTAGGTACACCCGAGGCACAGGTGGAAGGGGCACCATGCTGCAAGGAGACTACACTTACTCTCTGGGCCATGTTTATGATCCCACTACAACCTACCTTGGAGCTCCTGTCTTCTATGCTCCCCAGGCCTATGCAGCTATTCCCAGTCTTCATTTCCCAGCCACCAAAGGACACCTCAGCAACAGGGCCATTATCCGAGCCCCTTCTATTAGAGGTAACACTATTCAGTTCTTACCTTAGAGTAACCCCAAGATTTCAAATGATTTGTATTGCTATAGCCTTAGGCAAATTGGATGGGTGTACTGGGAGAAAAGGACTGAAAATTTGTTTATTAAAAATCAAATATTATATCAATAGGTTTCCTTCCACAGGAATCTTTTTTCACATTACAACTGGTTATTGAAAAAACTTGGTCAGGGAATAGTGCAAATAAACTAGCATACAAATTTGGTCTGTGCATGGACCCATACAATTTGCACAAACTAAAACCCAGTTCCCCTACCATTAGCTTCTTACTTATCCCTGGACCATCATCTTGCAGTCATATGTGACTCATTACAAAACTTCCAAGCGAGAGTAGTATGGTCCAGTGGAAACACGTTACCTCCAACAGCAAAAACACTTCAAGGCATGTGAGTTCTTGATGGTGACTTAGTGGCATCATCTTTATATATAAATCACAAATTACCATAAATATAGTCTAACAGATATATGACCTCCCCCCCCCCAAAAAAATGTGTTATACCTTCTAAAAAGCCAAACTACTAAGGAAATCAACTTATTTATTTAGTATATGGGAAACTAAATAAACTCCAAATAGAAAACAAACAAACAAACAAACATAAAAACACCTCCATCTGACTGCCAGACAATAAATATTTCATGTTTGAATCCTGTAAGAATTACAAATGTTTAAGCAGTTTTCTGAGACCAGTTAGCTCAAACGATATAGAAGATAAAGAAAGCATTTTTTATTTCCAAGAAACTAGTTTGTCTCTGCCTTATGGGCTCCTTCAGAGTGGTTTTTCTAGGATGTGGCTAATGCCAAAGGAATCCCAGTTTTATCTTTCAATATGACACCAATCTGGGCAATTGAACAAAAAACTATGTATATAAATCTATTCTTGGGTTTGACTTAGAAGAAAAGGGGCACATCCAGATTACTGTGGAAACAATTATCTTACTGTGTTTTACTATTTCGTAGGAGAACTGATTTTACCACCCTAAGACTTTCGTGTTTGACAGCCTTAAAAGTCCATACCCATAATAAAATCACTTCCCCAAATTGTAATGCAAAAGAAATCATCAGGATTTCCTTCAGGATAATATGTAAATATAGTAATAAATGAAGACATTGAAACATTACATATTCATAGTCTAAAATCACATCATTAACCAGTCCATACAACTTATTAAATATAAGTTGCCAACCAATTGTGATGTAGAAAAACTCCACTCTAAGGGAAAAAAATACCTATCTTATAACAGGAAAGAAATCAATGAATAACATTCACAGATGAAGGGTAATCAATTTAATATTTTTTCTCTTTATGTCACCAATAGGAAATCAAAATAGCAACATGGCAAACAAAAATCAAAAGGAATCTATGCATGAAACTCAACAGAAATTTAAGCCTCACAGTGACAGAACATGAAAGAGAGTATGGTGAACTTCAAAACATGCTTTCTAAATGCTGGTTTTCTGATAAGTCATTGAGTGCAGGATAATTAGGAAAGCTAGAATTCATTTATGATTTACCAATCAATGATAGTCTCTATGCAAGACTATTTCAATACAAGTGGTCATATTATGTTGGGATGTTTTAATAATCACATTCCCAAGCTTTATTAGTCTATAGAAAAACATCAACAAAAGGTTAACTGAAGACAGAAATTGCAAAATGTCTCTCTGCACTAAAATTTTAAAATTGCTTGTGTACTTATCAATAGCTTTGACAGTATTGCTTTCTTCCACAAGAGGTTTTAAAAAAGAGAGAGAGATGACTGTGGTGAACCTTACCTTATGTTGAGTTTCATTACATTAGAATCCTAGAGTTTTCTAACCATCTTCAGGGTGATAATCAATGTGACTGGGGCTAAGTGTTCCATTACAGTAAGATTCAGGGTGATTTTCTGGTGGTTTGATTCAGTTTAATGCCTTCTTACATTCCTAGAAATTTACATGAATGTACCTGTAGGGGCTGCGGGAGTGAGAGGACTGGGCGGCCGTGGCTATTTGGCATACACAGGCCTGGGTCGTGGATACCAGGTCAAAGGAGACAAGAGAGAAGACAAACTCTATGACCTTCTACCTGGGATGGAGCTCACCCCAATGAATCCTGTCACTTTAAAACCCCAGGGAATTAAACTTGCTCCCCAGGTAAGTCATGGTTTTCCAAAGACAGTTTCTTTATGTTGAGCCAATGACCACCATTCACCTTTCATCAAACGATTGACTTGCTCCTTCTCGGGCTGCTGGTTTTTTGTTTTTGTTTTTGTTTTGTTTTACTTGATAAAGTACCTAATCAACACGATGTACTTTGAGGGAATGTGGGTATTGAGTGCTATTGTTCCATTTAGGCCTTTTCATTTATTTTTAATCATAGAGTTTAAAACCTTAAATAATCTCCCACTGAAATGCAAAGGACATAAGAGGTATTAAGAATTATTGACAAATACCTTAAATGAAAATAAAATGAGGCAAAGACCCTACCTCAGAATAAATGCCTATTGTGTGTGAATCAGGTTGGTTGGTAAATGGAGAATATTCATAACAGGAAACCCTGAATAGACCATTTGGGACATCTTTTCTTGCAAACACTGTGTTTAAGAGAAAGCTCCACATGATACCTAGGTGAATCTTTAACCATGGGTGCCATCAGTCATATCAAATTAGGTCTTCATTTTTGGGCAGTGGCATTATGGTGAATTTTTATTGTTTTCACTTAACAGTTCCAAGTTTGCCTCATGTTTCCGAATGAGGCTGTGGTTTTTATTATTGGAAAACTAAAAGTTATCAAAGTCGTTTCAATAAAGAAACTGAATATCAGGGTTAAAAATAAAACAAAACAGAATCTGTGTTAACCTTTAAGCTGATCCTACAATGGTCATTTTTGGGCAGTGGCATTATGGTGAATTTTTATTGTTTTCACTTAACAGTTCCAAGTTTGCCTCATGTTTCCGAATGAGGCTGTGGTTTTTATTATTGGAAAACTAAAAGTTATCAAAGTCGTTTCAATAAAGAAACTGAATATCAGGGTTAAAAATAAAACAAAACAGAATCTGTGTTAACCTTTAAGCTGATCCCTGTGGGTGTGCAATATATGCTCATCTCTGAAATACACTTTGGCTGAATAAGCAGAGTAACAGTCTGTGTACACATAATGTAACTTCCCTACGTCCATGCCAAGAGTATCAGTCCCAAATTTACAGAGGTATCCTTATGATTGCAATCAAGAAGAAAACAGTTTTCTGTTTTTTGTGGGATTAACGGCTTTCATTTTCTGACAAATTAGTTCATCTAAAGTTTCTCCTAACCTGACCCAGGTAATTTAAAAAAAAAAAAAAAAAAGAATGCCTACCAAAGTGGTTAGCAGTAATCATTGATTTGTTCACAAAGCATTTATTGGGCTGGCAGGTTAGCTCGGTTGGTTAGAGTGTGGTGCTGATAGGGCCGGCCTGGTGGCGCACTGGATAAGTGTGCCGCTTGGGAAGCGCGGCGGCGCTCCCACCCGAGGGTTCGGATCCCACATACAGACCGGTTCCCGCTCACTGGCTGAGCGAGGCGCGGGAGTGACCCCAAGGGTTGCGATCCCGTTGCCGGTCCCTGGTCCGGTACGGGGGCAACACCGAGGGTTGCGATCCCGTTGCCGGTCCCCGGTCCGGTACGGGGGCAACA